AAGCGGCACGCGGCAAAAATAGAACCCGATCGGCTTCTGGGATGGTTTTAGAATCATTGCATTGGCTCCCCGTATGTTTCAGGATCAATTTTAAGGTTCTTCTAATGGTTTTTAAGTGTCTTAACAGTCTTGGGCCTTCTTATCTATCAGAACTGCTTTTACAATATGAACCCTCGCGGCCTCTGCGCTCCTCTGGTAGGCGTCTCCTGGTCATCCCTAAAGTCAGGACACAAACTCACGGCGAGGTGTCCTTCCAGTGTTATGGCCCTCGCCTCTGGAACGAGCTGCCAGAGGACCTCAGGGCCGCAGAGAACGTTCATGTTTTTAAGTCAAGACTCAAGACCCATCTTTTTAGGTTAGCTTTTATCTAAATATTTACTACAGTTTTATTTCTCATTTTACATGATTATATTTTATTACTTGCTTTGCATGTTCTATATGATTATATTTTAGCACAGTTTTATTATTAAATTATTATTTTACTGTCTATATCATTTTATTTATTACTTATTTTCTAATTTTTGTCATTTATATTAGCTCTTTTATTACATTTTTATTCATTTTAATCCAGTGTTTCCTCTGTGGGGGCCCTCTTCCCCGGGAGCGGTGGTCGACTGTAGCTTCCTGGGCGCTCTATAGGTGGGGGTCTATGCTCCCCCTCCACTGAGCGCCCTGACTTAGTGTGGAAGACCTGATGCTGCCAGGGCAGACGGCTCCTCTGATGGCGTTTCCTTGCGTTACCATACATGGCTCATCTGGACTCAGCCTAATATAATTTTTACTTGTGTATGTGCATGTGTGTGTGTGTGCGTGTGCTTGCATATGTTTGTAAATGTTTTTAACCTGTTATGGGAATCTGGGGTCATTTTGTAAAGCACTTTGAATCTCACTTTGTTTGAAAAGCGCTTTAGAAATAAAATTTGATTGATTGATTGATTAATGGGACGCGCCTGGAAGTTGCTGCGTCGCTGCAGGTTTGAAACGCTCCATTGACTATAATGGATTCTATTTGAAGCAGTGACGTCCCGCTGCCGTTCCGCTTTGCTGATGCTTTCAGTGTGAAACCGGGGTAACAGCGTCGCCGCCATATTGGACGGGTCTCGCCACTCTCCAAAGTCAGAGTGGTCGACTATGCCCGTTTTTGCGCAGCCTGTGATTGCAACAACCGGCGTACTATTGAAAACAGATCACGAGGCATTACTATTGACTTTCCAAGCCTACCTGATGGGATTTTATATTTAAATTTATTTTGTTTGATTATATTTATATTTCAATTATCATGGGCTGTGCAGTGATCAGCATTGTTGCCTTGCAGCAAGAAGGTTCTGGGGTCTTTCTGCAAGAAGTCTGCGTGTTCTCCCTGTGCATGCGTTGGTTCTCTCTATGTACTCTGGCTTCCTCCCACAGTCCAAAAACATGACTGTCAGGTTAATTGTTCTGCCTAAATTGTCCTTAGGTGTGAGTGTGCTTGGTTGTTTGTCCTGTGTGTATTTGGGTTGCCTTACGATGGACAGGCAACCTGTCCAGGGTGTACCTCGTCTATTTGCCTGTTGTCGACTACTGGAGATAGGCACCAGCAGCCCACTCCTCACCACCCTGCGTGGACAAGTGGGTTCAGATAATGGATGGATGAATGGATTGGCACGTGTCTCTGGTTTTGTGAAAAAGTTTGATAAAATGTGTTTTTTAGTTGGGTAAACACCTTCCTCAGTACAAACGAATGCACTGGGTAGACAAATGGAGACCCATCCAAGATGGAGGCCGGCCACTACGGCAGCTCCAAAAGGCAGCAACAGTCCACGGGGACTAGTCTGTGGTAAAAACATTATCACACTCCTGGGTGGAGTGGTGCTGAGCAGTGCTGGAAGTGCTACAACTAGCTTATTTTACAAATAGAAATAAAATTTGGTGTAAATAATCATGTAAGACCGGGGTGCGCAAAGGCCAAGATGAAGCTCAGTCTGAGCATGCAAAAAAATGTTATTTTTTAATTAAATGTCAAAATATTATATAGTGATCATTTTTTGCTCCAAAACAAGACCTAAAACAGACACATTAGTACAAATCTGAGCATAAAGTTGCTGAAGAGCACAAAAATCACTCCAAGGGCCGCAAAAGCCCCTTGCTGCAAATGTTGTTGTTACTGTAGCAAGGTGGAGAGGCGAGGGTCCGGGCGAGATTCGATCCCCAGATTCCCGGGTGGGAGTCATACACTCTAACCAGTCAGCCAAAGGGCCATCCCCTTGGTTTAGTAGCCAGGGCGCATCATCAATCGGGACACTGTGACAGGATGCTGACACTGTCACATTTATTTAGACTTGATTGCATTTACAGTAACAAATATGTCTGCTCTAGAAATTTGTTTCGCTTCCTTGTTTTCTGCAGAAGGGAGTCTGTAGCAAATTTGCTATTTTCACCCTCATGAATAGTAATAAATAAACAAATGTATAATAAAAATATTAAACCTCGATCATCGGGTATCAAGTTTAGCTCCTGCCTCATCAGAACGGCGTGTTTGAAATGTGTTCCATCCGTCAGAAAAACTCCCAACTAGCGTAAACAGTCAATGAACACATTTTTTGAATGTGTCATCAACCCAGCAGGGAACAGGAAGTGTTTACGACTGTCTGCACCAAAGACGTGCTGCTTAATCATCAGCCATGTTGACGGGGAGCTTTCAGCTCTGCAGCTCTCTCTGTTCCTCCCACGAAAACCTCCCTCAGCACCACAGATCTGCACACGACAACCCCCCCACCCCCGTCCAGCGAGCTGATGCATGCCACGGAAGCAGTGACGTCATGTGTTTACTGTATTTTGGGTTTCTGTCGTTGCAGTGCAGCAGTGCATCCAGCAGGGTTTATGTAACCCCCTGTGAGTGATGCATGATGGGAACTTTTTTAGCTCCAGCACGCGGCGCTAGCTTGGCAGCTGCCCTTTCCCAGGTGCTCTGTGCGGTGTTTGACATGTGAAAACTGAAAACATTTCTCCTCCCTCCGCCTCACACACGCCCCAGCCACCACTGCAGCAGCAGGAAAGTAAACAACTCTCGTGCTACGTGTGACTCCTCCCGCGTGGGCACGCGCCGCCCTCTGCTGGCGGAAGAAAGCACTCAACCCCAAATATGGTCTGCTGATAAAGCGAAACAAGATCCCGGGTTTGTTTTAAAATATATCTTCATTTCCACATTATTAATATCTTGTTGTGAATGTTTTTCACTGTCATATTTTGTTTTATTAGAAAATAGTTAAAGCAAAACAAATGTAGGCCTGTGTTTATCTATGTGGCTTTTACCATGTGACTGGAAAGGTGTTTCACACGTCTTTGATTTTACATTTTATTTCAGTCGCATTTAAATGTTTCAGATCAGCAAATTAATTTCAGTTGCTAATGGAAATAATGTGAGTAAATGTAGAAATTTTCTTTTTTAAAATGTTGATTTCATATATTAATGCAGCAGAAAGACAAAGGGCCAACACTCTCATTAAGGAGAGCAGAACAGCCCCAGACCACCACACTACCACCACCATGTCTGACTGTTGGTATGATGTTAGAATTAATAAGATGTTTTTTTGTTTTTCTTTTTATTGATGAGCCTTTGACTCTTTTTAAAACGTGGTATACTGTGTTGCTTTTTGAGACCTGTTAGCTTTCTTTGTGTTATCAGACCGATTCATTTGAAGTCATTTCGTTACTGGTCCAGCAGTAATCAGGTCTGGGTGTGATTTGAACTGTACTCAGCTTTCTAAATATTAGGATTAAACAGTGAATTATTGATATAACATGGGGGTCAGTATTTTTTTTCCACATGACCTGATTGATTTTGATAGCTTTTTATATTCTGTATATTATAGTGTAAAAAGTTGCTTAGTCATGCTTGCTCATGCCTTCTGTTCACCAAAAAGATTATTAAACCAAAGAAAAACAGACGTTTAGTTATATATTAAATATGACTGATTTGATCCTGTTTATGAAAAGGAAGCAGCAGGTACTGTGGTGCTGGGATACCTTACATCAGAAGAAAGAAGAAAAAAAACGTACATCAGGAGAAACTGGGCGTCACTTGGATAAATTCCTCAAATTACGTTACTTAACATCTTGGCTGTGCACCAGCTGCCACCTAATACACAGTCAAAACAAGTAACGTGTAATGGAAAACAGAGTAAGCAAAGGATGGTTTAATCTCACAATAATTAGAAATTAAATGCTCATGAACAATAAATAGGTTTGCTGAGCTATGCATGAGCTGAACCTTATCAACTCGATGAACCATAAAACAAAATACTAAAATCATCATTATTTACTATCTTTAAAATGCTTATTTGAATGAAAGGTAATAATAAAGTTACAATAGGCGAACTTTGTTCCTTAACTGTCTTACGTCAGCATGAAAATTAATAATAACGCCTCTGATTGTGTATTCTTATCTGTGCCTGGCAGCTTAACTTCCTGGATGGGTTCAGCAAACGACCTTCGTGCACTTTCAAGCACCCGCTGCTTATCTTTGCTTCCCTCTGCTGGTCAGTATAGGAATAGCAATAATCTAAACGGAAGTAGATTGATATTCCATGTCACCTGATATTCCATACCTCTTTTATAAAAAGTAAGTAATATAAATACATTTAGCTAAATATATATCCCATAATGTACGTTAAATCACATTATTACATCATCAAGTTGAAAAACTAGGTTTATAACAACCGGCAGAATAAAACAAATCAAGACCGGTGTTGTGCCAAAGTAGTTACCCCCGTCAAAAATTGTTTCCCCATTCACGGGAGCGATACTACAATACTGTAAACCAGACGTGTTCATGGAAACACGTCGCTCTCCGGTGAATTTACACTCAGTTTACACTTTGTTTTTGTTGGCGTTGCTATCACGAAATAGTTTATTTGCCAAATAAGTCACAGTATAACTAATAACTACAGAAACTTTGGAGAACATTTTCTTTTGTTAGACTTCTTAATTTAACGTTTAATGTTCTCCAAAGTTTCTGTAGTTATTAGTTATACTGTGACTTATTTTGCAAATAAACTATTTCGTGATAGCATCGCCAACAAAAACAAAGTGTAAACCGAGGGGAAACAATTTTTGACGGGGGTAACTACTTTGGCACATCACCGGAACTAGACCTTCACTGGTACTTCCGGGGAGCTGTTTGAGTGTTACAACAGTCACTGCTATGACAGGTTCAAATAGCACGGTAAAGTTTTCCTTTTTGGGGAGTAATTATGTTTATATGTGTCTTAGCTGCATTTAAAACTAAACCTAAAGTAGCCTAATAAAATGCGTCATAGCGTTGTTGACGGCGATGAAAAACGGCCGCATTTTGTTGTTCAGACTAAACACAGTTTCACTCCAGGCTGCTAACAGATACATTCATGTTTAAATTTCGGCAACAAATGTTCCTAATTAATCGATTTACTCTTAAATATAACGAAAAACTCGATCACAAACGCTGCACGAAGACTTTTATTTTGAAAAGCCACCATCTTTATTTTAGTTAACATTAAAATACAATTGGCACGTCTAAGATGTGTAAAACAAATGTTTTAACTGGCATTTAAGGTCTAGATTAGGGTTCCTGTCGGATTTTTGTCAGTGCTGACTTTATATAAGTGACTTGAAAGGGTTTTTGTCATCAAAGGCATGTCTGAACATGTCGAAATTTGACAACTTAGTCTGGGTTGTAGCTGGTGTAATAATCTGATTTATTCAAGACATAAAAATGTACATTATTATTCTTGTTGTTATTATTGGTCAGGTAATTTGTCTACATTTACTTAAACAGGAAGTTTTATATTAACATCCAGTTTTGTTCACAGAGTTGAAGAAGAATTTTAGGAATTAATATACTTCTAGGCTGTTTCAGAGACTTTTATTCTGGAATTATTGTGTTAAAATCTAAAATGTTTGCATGTGATACAGATTTTGTTACGAATTGATATAAAATAATTATTATAAATACTAAAGCACTTTGTAATATCCAAAGCAGTTGGACATTAATAATAAAGACTAAATAACAAAACAAAAATGTTATCATTTCATAATAATTCCATATAAGTTGCTTTGTTGTGAAACCAGACAATCGGATGACAAACACGGTCATTTTCATAAATAAATCACGACAAACACTGTATAATATTGCTAATAGTTGTACTGCAGTTCTGTATTTTTGAGTAATATCACCTATTTAAAATAAACTGTGCGTAATAAACGTGTTACCATACTGTGAACAAGAGCGAAACTGTCATAACACGCTGTGGTAGGAATATCCGACGAGGAAGCGCAGATAGTCAGAACACCGAAATTGTCTAAAATGTGGTAGTGGCTTCCGTAGCACAGCATTTATTTGATTTTATTCATGATAAGCACCTACATTGGGCTCTACAGTGTTGTCTACAGCTGCTGAAAGGCAATTTGAATTTTATTTTGTGTTCCAGATTTAATCATGGAGGGGACTTCCAAACATGGTGCTCCAGGTGAGCCAACTGTTGCTGCTCAGGTCCCGTTTCTTCACTTGTGCACCACTTTGGAAAAGATCCAGAAATCCAAACTTCGTCCAGATAAATCCAAGATCCTTGGGGATTTCATTGAATCGTGGCGCAAGTTTCATTCTGCCCTCCACAAAGAAAACCCCCAAACTACAGACTCCTTCTACTCTGCTATGCGCCTCATCGTTCCCCCGTTTGAGCGAGAGCGAATGGCGTATGGAATAAAAGAAAGCATGCTAGCTAAGCTTTATATCGATGTTTTAGGCCTTCCAAAGAATGGCCCAGAGGCCAATAAGCTGCTGAACTATCGCGCTCCAACCACATCCCAAGGAGAAGCTGGAGACTTTGCCAGCATGGCATACTTTGTGTTGAAGAACCGATGCGCGAGCCAAGGAAATCTTAGCATCAAAGAGGTCAACGACTTCCTGGACTCAGTTGCAATAAACAATGCCAGCAAGCAAAAGGACCTTGTTAAAAAGAGTCTCCTGCACCTCATCACCCAAAGCTCTGCTCTTGAGCAAAAGTGGCTCATTAGAATGATTCTGAAAGATATGAAGCTTGGAGTCAGTAAGGAAACGGTTCTCCAAGTCTTCCACCCGGATGCTGCAGAGCTCTACAACGTCAACACGGACTTGAACAAGGTGTGCCAGCAGCTCCACAACCCTTCCGTGTCCTTAAGTGAAGTTTCTATCGAACTTTTCTCCGCCTTTAAGCCGATGTTGGCAGCTGTGGCTAATATTCGCAACGTTGAGAAGCAAATGGGCAACAGCCCTTTTTACATTGAGACAAAGCTGGATGGGGAACGTATTCAGCTGCACAAAGACGGAGACGTGTACAAGTACTTCAGCAGAAACGCTTTTGAATACACGCAGCAGTTTGGTGGCTCGCCCCTAGAAGGATCGCTGACTCCTCATATTCATAACGCTTTCAAACGCGACATTGTGAGCTGCATCCTGGATGGAGAGATGATGGCGTACAACCCAACGGCGGAGACGTTCATGCAGAAAGGGAGCAAGTTCGACATCAAGAAGCTGATGAACGACTCAGAGTTGCAGACATGCTTCTGCGTGTTTGACGTGTTGTTGGCGAATAACCGAAAGCTTGGCAAAGAAACGCTAAAACACCGCCATGAGATCCTTCAGACCATTTTCACACCGATCAATGGAAGGATTCATGTGGTGCCGAAGACTGAAGTCCGAACCATGCAGCAGGTGGTCGGCGCACTTAATGATGCCATTGACAGCAGAGAAGAGGGAATCATGGTAAAGGATCCTCTGTCCCTCTACAAGCCTGATAAACGAGGAGAAGGCTGGCTAAAAATAAAACCAGAGTACGTGGACGGCTTGATGGACGAGCTGGACCTACTGATTGTTGGCGGCTACTGGGGAAAAGGAAGACGAGGTGGGATGATGTCTCATTTCTTATGTGCCATTGCTGAAGCCCCAAAGCCTGGCGAGAAGCCATCAGTTTTCCATTCCTTCTGTCGCGTTGGCTCAGGCTACACCATGAAAGAGTTGTATGACCTTGGTTTGAAGCTTGCCAAGCACTGGAAGGTCTACAAGAAAAAGGACCCTCCAGCATCCATCCTGTGTGGGACAGAGAAACCAGAGGTTTACATCGAACCGTGCAACTCGGTCATCGTCCAGGTTAAGGCAGCTGAGATTGTTGCAAGTGACGTGTATAAAACCAACTGCACGCTGCGCTTCCCCAGAATTGAAAAGATCCGCGACGATAAGGAATGGCATCAGTGTATGACCCTGGCAGAGCTAGATCAGTTCCGTAGCAAGGCGTCTGGGAAACTGGCCTCACGGCACCTTAACATTGACTATAATGAACCACAAAAAAAGAAGAGGAAGCTGCCAGCCAAAACCAAGAAGGTGGTTGGTGTAATTGACCACTTCAAGCCCCAAGACCTGACCGGGGTTTCCAAGGAGACCGATATGTTTGAAGATGTAGAATTCTGCATCCTGAACGGCTCTGAAGATCATCCGAAGTCTGAACTGGAAAAAGGCGTAGCCAGGTAAAACAACATTTAATTGTTTTTTAAATTTAGGCCAAATTGGGAATGTAGGCCCAGGAATTTAGTCAAAAATTGCAGACCGAAAAAAAAGAACAACCTAGAAAGCTGAAAAGTGTTAAATGATGCCATCATTGCCTGAAGGCTACCCCCTGAGAGGCATGGATAGTTTATAACATAGCTTGTTCTGTGAGTAGGCTACATTATGGCCCTCAGAATAGTGGTTGTAAAGACAAGACAAGAATAATCCAAACGTGGAAAGTTTAATTCAAATTAGTTTCTCCACCGCTGAAAACAAATGGCCTTTTCACCTCTGGCCCGCTTCAGCTTTCGCCAGGTTTTGCTCACATCACAATGTCTGTGGTTCACACAGCCTTCTCAGAAGCACAGTTGTCTCTGAGCATGTGGGCGGAGCAAATGACATGCAGAGGAATCTGTGGTGTCCTCCTTAAGTTAGTAAACAAAAGCGGCCGTGTTGTTTTTGGATACTCTAACATGAAGCACACAGCTTCCTGCTGTCTCACTGAGCAGTGAAGTTGCGCTGTCCTCGCACTGCTGTGGCAGGTCCAAGCTGCAGGCAAAGAAGATGTTTACCCTAAACCTAACCCACCGATCACGCTTGTGGGAAACCACTAGCTTATTCCACCCACCAATCAGAGGCTCCCACTAGGGTTGCAAGGATTAACCGGTTTGACTAATAACCATTGTGTGAAACGCTGCGGTTAACCCATCGCAGACGTCTCCCAACACCGAAAATGATAAATAAAAGATTTGCGGACCACAGCGAAAGTGAAAATGAACGAACGCACGCAGCAGAACCAGCGTCAACAACCACTGGGACTGCTCCATTTCCACTTAGGAAGCGCTTCAAGTCTCCCGTGAGGGGATATTTTAGACTCCCAAAGCTGCTAAAAAAGAAATTCAGAACGGTGTCTCGTTCATCTGCAGAGCCGACAGAAAAAAAAGTTGTGTTGCTCCCAATTTATTATCTCTGAGATCATCACACAGACAAAGTAGCTCCAACGGATCTGAACGGATTTAACAATAATATTAGAACAATCCAGTTAACGACATTTCCCCCTGTATATGTCTACAACAAGCCAGTACGGCAAGCCATTATAATATTTAATCAACAACACCTTTCTGTAATTCCTGTTCTACATAAGAATAATATAATGTATCCTTGTCCAAATAAAAATCTTACTGATGAAATTTTAAAAGATATGAACAAATAGAAATTACATTTAAGTAATGAGTAATATTCATGATTACAACTGCACTAGTAGGAACTTAGCATCTTAATTCATTACGGCGTCTCCATCCTTCAGTGCTAACCCTGACCAGCTGTCAGTTTAACCTTTTTGTCTTTTTACAGAAACTCAAAAAAGGCCGTTAGACAAATATATTTAAAGGTGTGGTTCACTGAAAAACCGTTTTTAATGATTATTTCAGATAATCGGTTACTCTTGAGTTTTTCATGCAGGCTGAACATGAAAATAGTCTCCTACACCTACACCTGCATTAGCTTCTGATAGAAAATAGACGTTGAAACTCTAGGATTAGAAAAGCCTGACAGATCTACGTCACAGTGTCACTAACATTCATGGACTCACCCATCTTGACTCACGACGGGGAAGGCTGTTGTTTAGCTTCCAGGAAACAGCAGAGAACATCCTTTACTAGAAACTAACTGTTAGCATTAGCAACTCTACCAGGCTTGTGTTATTTGTGGAGATAAAACATCGACGTTGCTAATCAGTAGTAGAGTGAATTTTTCTAAGCAAATCTTTGAAAAGGAACAATAGATAATTCAGGGTAGGGCCGGGCAATAAATCGAAAATTTATTGTTATCTCTTATCGAGAAAAATTTTCTCATGTCAATAAATTTGATTTAAAAAAAATGAAAAGATATGTAGGTTGGCAACATCTACGTCCCTTTAAGAAGCTGTACCACCTTGAGTCATGGAAAAATGTGACTCAACGTGACAGCCCCATCTAGTGGACAACTTTTGTTTCGGCGCATACCCGTAGTTATCGTCCATTTATTGTTATCGAGGTGAAATCCTCAATTTATCATGATATTGATTTTAGGCCATATCGCCCAGTCCTAATTCAAGGGATCAAAACCTTTATAGAATGTAATCATGCCTTTTCTCAATAATTGATAGGATGTGTGTGTGATTTCTATATGTTAATACAGATGGGAAATCAATTCATGTACAATAATGGTGAAACCGTCATTATTTCTCAGACTATAATCATCCCACCAAAATTTATAATCGTTGCAACCCTAGCTCCCAGTAGTAGGTAGGTGTGAACTTTAGCCGGCCAATCAGTCCGTCCGAAGCTTACGACTGAGGAGCAGGTCTGAAAAAAACTTTCTACTGAGCAAAGCGCACAGATAACCCAGATGTGAACAACTCTAACCTACCAGATATGAATGCACCATAAAATATCCAGAGTTCATATTTTAAAGAGACTACAGAAACCAAGGATTGTGTTGTTTAGTTGAGGCCAAGCTACTTTAATCACACAAGAATCCATAAAATGCCACGCTAAAATGTAAAAATATTTTAAACATTAAGACATTTTAAAAGACGTAGACCAACTAATAAAAATTAATCGTGCTATCATTGCTTTCTCTGAGGTGTGGCGGTTTCGTGGTTCAAAACCCAGGACGGGACACCTACTGCGTGATTGCCGGCGTGGAGAACATGCGCGTGAAGAATCTGATTTCATCCAACCAGCATGATGTCGTTTGGGCCTCTTGGCTGGTGGAGTGCCTTGACCAGAAGGAAGTGGTGCCATGGCAACCTCGCCACATGATTCACATGTCACCCTCAACACGGGAACACTTTGCCAAGGAGTATGACATCTATGGTGACAGCTACTTCGTGGATACTGATGAACAACAGCTGCGTGAGGTGTTCGGCCGAATAAGCAACGTCAATGCGGCAGGGGTGAACGCAGCTCAGGTAGAGGAGCGTTATGGTTGGGATGACCTTCCCACGAGCATGTTCAGACCATTCACAGTCTACCTGGATGTTCTCGCCAACATCGGCGATCCAAAAAGCACCGTACCCGTCACCAGTCTAGACATCAGAGCACTGGAGGTTCGCTACCATGGAGGTACGGTGGTACAGAAGTTAGAAGAAGGAGTTTCACATGTGATTGTGGAAGGAGAGGAGAGACTTATGGATCTGAGGACCCTGCGGCGCTCTTTTAAGAAGAAGTTTAAAATCGTGAGAGACAAGTGGGTGACTGATTCAGTCACAGCAGGGCATCTGGTAGACGATACTGACTACTTGGTTTGAAACTTCCTGGAAAGCACACAGTTTTAGATGACACTGTAGAAAGTAGTTTCAGTGTTTTAATTCATAGTTATTGGATTTTTAAATAGAAAATTATTTTAAATGCTCGAGGTTTCTCTTTGGGCTTTCTCTTTTCCACTCTCAAAGAAATCAGGTTTAAAAGTTTGAATAATCAATAAAAATGATTTGACCGTAGTTGCTTTTTTGCCTTTTATTTGATCTGTCGTGTGACATGTTTAGACCATCTCGCCTTCTGACTTTAAACAAGGAATTATAATTGAACACAATTAGCCTCTCCATCAGAAACACAATATTTTTAATCTGTGTTAATAATTAAAGTTGCTTTCTGGAGTTTTCCCCTTTCAGAAACGATGTATGATTTTTCAGAAATCCGTGAACGTGATTGTATCATCATGTACTGTGATAAAATGTAAGCGATATGTCTTTTATTAGTTTTTACTAAGCACGCCGCCTGCCCATGACATGAGAATAATACTCATAAAACAACGTGTTTTAGCTCTGTTTGTCGGCTACAAAAGCACATTTATAAACAGAAACGTGAAGTCGTTATCTTAAACGAACAGAGCAACAGAGTTTTTGTGTGATACGCTTGTCGGCCACTAGATGGTGCCATCGGATAAGAGAAATGCTCTGGAAAGAAGCTTTAAGCAGTGACGAAATTGTCCACTGTAATATTGTGTCCTTTGTAAAAGGTTGTATGTGCGAGTATTGTAATTCAGGAAGGTCAGGTAATTCGTAAACGGCAGATTTAGTTAATAAAGGTTTTTGAATTTGAGGTTTATAGTCCTGAAACAGAACATCATTTGATCTTTTACCTACTTTTCTCAGATCTATTATCCGTTGAAGTTTCGGGAAGCCAAATATCAATACTGAAAAACACAATATTTTATACTTTTTTCTCTTGCAAGAGATTGTGGTCGCGGTAGCTAAGTATCTGTATTGTTGTGGCTGGATTTGTGCAGCCCGATTGGGACCAATGTTTTGCTGTTTTGGCTCTAGCGGTTCGTTACACTTGGGTCAACTCGACCTGGGCCGGGTGGGGACAGCCCGCCCTCGTGCATCCAGGTTTTGTTTACACAGCCTAACGAGGATGTGGGCAAGGACATAGGTGGGCTTTGCTCAAGTGGCGCAGAGAATTCAGTAGCGTCTTTCCTAAGTGTCACAAGTCAGACAAACACAAGCAGACACGAGCAGTGCTGCTTTTGGAGACTCTGACATGAAGCACACAGCTTCCTAATCTTCTTATTGAGCAGCTGCGCTGACGTGGGCTCCTCTCATCCAAGACTGCTCTTGGTAGTCTTGGGCGGTATACCGGTTCATACTAAAAACCGGTATTTATTTTGGTGATGATATTAATTTTTCACGTACCGCTATACCGGTGAATGGCCTAGACAACGTACAGAACGTTCGTAGTAGGGAAGTGTTTCAGCGGGGACTCATTTCACTGCTACACACAAACATCATAGCGTGGTGAAACCAAGACTGGCGGGAGCTATCACGGTGACATCAAAACTTCGAATGCAGAAGAACTTATTCCAAAAAGAGGAGCCACGTCTGTTGTTTGGAGGTTTTTCGGGTTTAAAAGTTTGGACGTGGAGCAAACAACTTTTATATGCTAATGCTGTCGAGCAACGGTGGTAGCCGGCGGGGGTAATACCGGCAACTTGCTTCATCACCTCAGCCGAAAACACGTCTTGGATTACCAAGCATGTCTCGAGCTTCGATCTGCACCCTCCACCTCCAAGGCTAAAACGGCTAGTAGCAGTCAGAGTCAGACGTCCATTAAAGATGCGTTCGCTAAAGGGACTGTATATAAAGCAAGCGGTGGGTCGAGATAACCAACGCAATAACGTTGGATGTGAAATCCTAAAGACGGTTAACTGCACATATTATATGCAAAATGTGTTAAATAAAAATAATTTATTTTGACTGCAATATTTTATCTTTCTAGTTGTTTTTTCTTAACTGCTTTCTTTTGACAAGGATACTTTGAGGGGGTTTCTGCATTTACCTACCTGTGACTGGACATTGAAAAACTGGTATTCTGCACACAAAGGTAAAACGGGCTATTTAAGGCCAATCTAGTGCAGCAATTATTTTCTTAAAATAATCTGAGTAATCACGGCCTTGTGAAAAATACCGTAAAACCAATATAATTTTAAAAAATACCGTGATATGACATTTTTGCCACACTGCCCAGGCCTAGCTCACGGCAGAGGTCCACCCTCGTGCTGCTACTGCGGCAGCTCCACCCGGTTCGAGCTGCAGGCAGAAAATGTTTACCCTACCTCCTACAGATTGCCAATGAATCGCTCTTGCGGTCGGCTCCGCACAGACGGTGCAAATGTAGATGCAATGACCCCACCCGGCCCAGACCGAGCTGCTCGGTGAGAAGAGCAGGAAGCTGAGTGCTTAATTTGAGAGTCTCAAAAAGCAACTACTCACACTCACTTTGTTTATGAATCTGTGGCGGTTCAGAATGACACCACAAACGTATTTGATCACACCCGTGTTCCTGAGAAGGCTGTGTAAGAACCTGGCCATGCTTGGGCTGTCCCCACCAGGCCCACGTTGGCCTGACCAAAGTGTAAATGCGCCATTATTGTTCTGTTTTATGACTCAGCTTTGTCATGGTGCCATGTAGTTTTACGAAGATATTTATCCCACACTTTTATATCAAATTACTAATATTTGTTTCAAATCATTGAACCAGCATTACAATCAATTTTGTTAAAATTAGGAAACTACATCACTGTAACGTGATGAAGGAGCTATTCCACCGAAGATTTACCCTCTTTCCTCAGATGTCTCTGACACAGAACTAATCTGCATGAGACTGTCTCAAGGTCATGCATTCGCTTCTAAACTGCTTCCTTTCCAGCCCAAGAGAAGAATGAAGACAAAGGACTCTTTCTTTTTAATAAATCAAAGAAGTCTATTTTTAATAAGCTAATCAAACAAAGTGTTAGTCAGTAATAAAATGTGAACCAATTTGTGAGATGAAAATATTAATTACTTTATTATAATCCTATAAAATATGATAAGTAATATAACTTTAAATGTTTCCACTAGAGACTGATCACACGTAGTGTTAAGACATGACACATTGCTTTTACTGATCCAATCAGAACCTGCCAGATCTGACGGAGGCGTGGTTTTGGTGGTGTTTGGTAAATCTGTCATCTTTTCATTCAACCATAAACCAAAACATCCGAAGTATAAAACTATGCCCACGTCATCTTTAACGCCAGTTCAAAGCGTTCTAGAGAAGTTGTCGGAGTGGCCAATCCGTAACTTTCCTCTTCAGCCGAAAGAAGACAAGCTGGATAAAATCTGTTGCTGTTCCAACTGCTGCAACGGTTCCTTTCAGAATAAAAGCTGAACCATCACAACCCCATTTTGGGTCTTGCTAGATGCCAACAAACTGTCGTGACCTGGAAGTATCTCAAACACTGGACTGGTCGGCGGCCGCGGCTGTTCTACAGGCTTCGGCTCCAGAAAGGTCCAAGCTGGACCTCTACACCTCCTGATCTAGACAGGGACTTCCGAAAGGGTACGTAGACCGACAGAATGGCGTCTTATGTGTTTATGAGTCTCCAAATCAAAGCTTAGCGCGAAGACATCACCTCCACTCCCATCGGAACTAATTGTTTCTCCGGATTTGCTGGTTCTGAACAACATTCCACATTACACCATTCTCCGTCTCACGTCACCTTAGTTACACCGTACATTTAGTGTTTAAAGTTAGTCTAGTTTTGATTTGTTTAGTAAGAAATCTTTAAACTTTTAAAACTTGACTCTCTTCTGTTGTCTCTGAGTTAATACGAAGTTGTTACATAATCCCTGCAATAAAAAGTTCCAGTCTTCTGGTTAAAAGTACCCAAAGATCCATAAGATTGATTTCATATTTATTATGGAATCTTATGTCTTATGGTTCGTTAAATAGATGTCAAATTAACCCTTTACATCACAAAAGAGTTGGCTTGAGCTCACAGAAAGTGGCCTACAGACACCACAAGAATATATTAAAATTGGTTAAACTGGAGGTCTTCCTTCGAAGATGCATTCACGTTTCCCTGTCTTCACAAATGTTGCCAGCGTGTCTTGGGACTGAGTTATACGTCCTAACCTTCATCACGGTCGTTTCTTGGGTGTAGGTAGCTGCCTGTGGCACCCTGGATATTGTTGTGCTACAAATGCCGCATGAAGACGTTGTCGAAGTGAAAGTGATGAGGTACCTGGTTGTAATCACATTGTGTGAATAATGATAACTTCTCTGTGGGGGTTGGGCTGTTTTTGCTGTTTTTGAGGCATTTTCAGGATTAACTTGCAATAATAAAGTTTGTGTGAAAGAAAATCAGTGCTTATGTCATGTGCGCTAGTAAGCACTCGGCAACCCATCGCCCACTCTGGACTATTTCTAGGTGATGCAGAGTGAGCGTTTGAGTGACAGGCTTTAATTAGAAGTGCTCAACCAGTGCTTATCCCTGCCGATGGTGTTTAGCGGTCTTGACAAGTCCAACCGTTGGCCCTCTGAAAGTGCAGATCATCAGTTCTGAGAAAGTGGAGATTGAAATCCTGCATTGCAGAAATATCATACCCTAATGGGATTAAATGCTTCAATTAGGCTAGCTGTAGCTGTTGGAGAGCGAACCACCGGATATGTGTACACACAAAAAGTTTGGCAGCAACCCCCAGACAACCCAGTGGGTAAGTACAGGTAAAATCAATGAACTCCTGAAGCAGTGGCGCTGCTGGGGGGGGGGGGGGGGGGGGGGGGGGGGGGGGGGGCTAGGGGGTGCTATAGCTGAATCAGGCCAAAGTTAACTTTTAAAGTAAGGCTGAAAAAAACATGTTTATTTAACAGTGGGTTATTGAAAGGGGAAAGCCATAAGACCGATTTTATTTTGAAGTTGGGATTAAATGCCACTGAACTGTTGACATTTTTAAAAATCAGTCATTTAATTAAATAAGACGATTAGTGTTCTCCTCGTTTCCGTTTTTTGGGCAAATTTGAATGAGTTTTGGAATTGTAAAATAATTTTAAAGTAGGATCTATAGGGAAAAAATGTGAACATGTGTGACTGTGTCAAGACAACACATACCCTGCTATACTGAGCCCAATGACAGAGCATTACAAAATAAAAGCCCTGTCAGGGGCTCCACAAAGTAAGTTGGCATGTTTTTCTGTTGTATTTTCAGCTAAATTTTGTATTTATAAACACATTTTCTTCGTTTATTCTTTAAAATGATAATGGTGAGTATTTTTTCATGTTAAAATGTTGTTACGCTTTTATTCTGACAGATAAACCCTGGAGTTCCTCCTGGTTTAGCTCATCCCCTCACTTGATGCGCCCTTGAACAAACTGGATGCGGTGACTGCGGTGCGCGCGCACAACGTCAGAGCTGGCAAAACCCCAAGTAAAAAAAAAACACCACAGAGTAACAAACCGGATGTTCGGTAGTTTGACCTACAAAATAAAAGCACATTTGATTTTCTTTTATAAAGACAAAAAAATCTCAAACGGGATTTACGTTTTACTCAAATTGTTATTTTGAGATTTTCCATTTTGCTTTTATTAGATTATACAGCAGTACTTAGAATAAATCCGACTTAAGGGGTTAAACTTGTAAACGCAAGCAAAACAGTCACAAGTCTAATATAATTAAAAACATTCTTAGAACCACAAAAACGCAGTTTTTTTTCCTGTAAGTTATTAAGTGGAATTTAACACATTTTACGTGCACAAAACCAGCATTTCATATGTGTCCTAATTCAGAATTTTGGAACTCTAGAAAAATACATACATTTCGTTTGATGAGTTTTCTATTTTGCTTAATTTATAGGATTAGATGTGAATAATTGAAATTAAAAGAGTAATGACAGAAGCACAAATGGTACAAATGTTTATTAAATTGGTTAGTTAGTAAGTAATTAAATAAAATTGGACCAAAAACACATACATACATATATACAGCTGAATTATCTGTTGAAGTCTGAATACTAATGGAACACTTTTAAACAAAATATTTATTTAAGAAACTAGATTCAAACTGAAAAATGTACATTCTATCTGCTGTAAAACAGAAGTACCTTACCAAAATAAAAGCAGAGTGACAAGATCTCTTATCTAACATAAATTTAGTCAGGAAGCCTTTATCTGTGCAAGGAGAAACTAAACAGGAACATGAATAAATTCTAATCTCATCAGAAAATATGTAGCCTATCTTATAGTGGATTACTTCAGCTTTTATGTCGCTGGCTCGTTTCTAGTTTTCATCCCAAATTGAAAATATTAGCTAGCCACCAACTCAGTGGCCTAGTGTTAGAGTGTCTGCCCTGTTACTGCCATGGTAGATCGGGGTTCAAATCCTGGTGGGGTCATGCCATCCATCCATTTTCTTATCAGGAGTCGAGTAGCGGGAGCAACAGTCTAAGTCCAGAGGCCCAGACTTCCCTCTTGCAGCCACTTGAGACAGCTCTTCCTGGGGAATCCCAAGACGTTCCCTGAACGTGTCTGAAAAGCCTCACCAGGGAGGCATCCAGAAGGCATCCTAATCAGATGCCCGAGCCACCTCATCTGGCTCCTCTTGATGTGGAGCAGCGGATCTACTCTGAGCCCCTCCCAGATGACCGAGCTTTTTTTTTTTTTTTTTTTTATCTTTTATTTCATTCACAATGTATAAAATAAACACAAACAAATACAGGATACATTAACATATTGAAAAAAAACATTTGAATGAAAAGGAGCAGACAGAAGAAAAAATCTTATGATTTCTGCCCCTTTTTACGAAATAAAATTATCCGCCAAACAAACACAATATAACCTCGGTCACTTTATAATATTTTCACGTCTAATCTTTGACATTATAATTCTTCTTTTCATAATTACTAAATACATTAGATTTTATACATTTTTTAAATATTGCAAGTGTAGTTGATTCTTTAAATTCCTTGTTAATGGCATTCCACAATCTTACACCATTTACAGAAATGTTACATTCCCTCACTTTGGTTCTGAATCTAGGTTTCTCAAAGACATCAGTTCCTTTTAACATGTACCCACTTACTCTCTTATGAAACATTTTCTGAATATTAGTTGGTAGATTACTTGTATTCGCTCTGTACATTATTTGCAATATTTTCCACTCTACCAAGTCAGGAAATTTCAGTATTTTGTATCTAATGAATAATTGATTAGTGTGATCTCTATAGTTACTGTTATTAATGATTCTCAATGCTCTTTTTTGCAAAATGATCAATGGTTGTGTAAAAGTTTTGCAAGTGGCTCCCCAAATTTCTAAACAATAAAATAAATATGGTTCAATCAGTGAGTGATACAATGTTAACAACCCCGACAAATTTAGTAGAAACTTGACTCTATATAATACCCCTATGGCTTTGGCAATTTTCCCCTTTATATAACCTACATGTGATTTCCACGTGAGACTCTCATCGAACATGACTCCAAGAAATTTGGTTTCTTTTACCCTTTGAATTTCCATTCCATCTATCATTAAAGATACATCACAGCTTCTTTTGTTATTAAACAGTATATAGTTTGTTTTGTTCAGGTTCAGTGACAGTCTATTTATATCAAACCATTTTTTAACTTTAATCAATTCACTGTTTATCACTTGAGTTACTTCATGTATATTTAATCCTGAATAAAACAATGTAGTATCATCCGCAAATAAAACTGTGCCAAGTAAATTCGACACATTTACCAGGTCATTAATAAACAATATGAACAGTTTAGGTCCGAGGACTGACCCTTGTGGTACCCCATAATAAATATCTTTTAATTCAGATTTAGCATTATTTATTTGAACAAACTGTTTTCTATTGCGTAAATAACTATTAACCCATTGATGCGCCACCCCTCTTATTCCATACCGGTGTAATTTAAGAAGTAACCTTGAATGATCAATGACATCAAATGCCTTTTTTAAGTCAATAAAAACACTAATGAAATGGTTTTTATTGTCAATTGCTGATGAAATTTTATCTACTAAATCCATAACTGCCATTGCTGTTGAATGTTTGGTCCTAAAGCCATACTGTTCATGATTTAAAATTGAATTTTCGTCAATGAATTTGTCCAACCTTAATGCAAACACTTTTTCTAATATTTTGGAAAACTGTGGAAGCAGTGACACTGGCTTCTCACACTATCTCTAAGGGAGAGCCCAGCCACCCTGCAGAGTAAACTTATTTTGGCCACTTGTGTCTGCAATCTCATTCTTTCTGTCACTACCCAAAGCTCGTGACCATAGGTGAGGGTAGGAACGTAGATCAACAAATGAGATCCAGTGCCTCCCTGCTTGACACTCAGCTTTAAGGAGTTGGATTGGGGGGATAAACCAGGCCCCCATAATTCTGGGGTGAAAATGAAGCCAACGTGGAAGTGACAAAAAACTGCAGTTCCACCCATTTCCCAGGGCAGCCAGGACTCTAAGACCCCTCCGATGCGAGTGTAGTCATGCTAGTCACTTGTGGATCTCTGAGGGAGATCACAGGAACACCACAGCTCTTTTTGTTGACGCTGCTTCACCTTTGAGTCGCTCAACTGCAATTTTCTCGCTAATACTTTGCTGGTTGAATGGGGGAAAATTCTATGAGTTTACCATAGCGCTTCGTCATTTGGCTCCCAGCTCCGCAGACAATGGCGGGCTTGCGGTCGATCCAGCAAAACCCGATATCGTCGGTTAGCTTACCTAGTTCTGATTTTTATACTAAGCAGCCCGGAGGTGCCCTCACTTTGGTGTCGCTCCACCACATTTTTCTTGCTAAAAATGCCCAGGAAACTCTGTTAGCTTCGGGTTAGCATGTAGCTAATGTCCTGCTGATCTCTGACCATGGACCACAAGCTGATGTAAAAGGTCACGGCGCACAGCCACGATTACAGCTGTCTGAGGTTTTGCTTGTATTTTAACAAGCATGACTACAGCCACACACGGGAGCCAGTCGGCCGTGCGAGTGGGCTACCCCAGTCCCTGGAGCCCTTCCTAGCTTCTTGGGTTAACTAAGTGGCTATATTGTTTCATTTATTCCAAACGTAACAGCCCCACCCTCAGTTCCACTTCTTTTCCCATTTTGGGATTGTCTGGACGTGACGAGACGTGTGACATGGTCCAAAAAAAAATCAATGGTGAGAACCTCCCATTTTTGGCTTCAACCTGCCGTCTGCGGAACAATGAGCGGGCTAAGTCCATATTTTTATATGTCAATGGGTTAAACCAACAAATAGTTCCCAAGCATGGCCACAGCTGCAGTTAACCGATCCCCACAGGGATGGGTGAAATGTGGAGATTAATTTCACTACTGTGTGATGACTAATGGGGCTTTAAATGTAACTCCAATATTCAGTTTAAAAGTGATACATTTATATTTAAACTCAATAAGATAATTTAATTTTACACATCCAGATTTGTTTTTCTATTAAACTTTGTGCTTATAGATAATGTTTCTGAAAAATTTGGTTCAACTATATGTGTAGATTAATAATAATAATAATTTTCTTAAATCCAAAACAAAATCACCATAACAACAGTGATTTTTTTAAACAGTAGTTTAAATATATAGATAAAAAAACAAATGATCAAAAATTATTTGACATAAAAGTTTTTCAATAATTGATTGATTAAACAATGTTTCAATATGTATATACATTTAGGACATTTTTGATCTAAAACTTTCAGTAATGATAAAATATGAAGCAAAATTTGGTAAATAAGTGAAGCTCTTCACTCTTTTATTTTGAAAGACCACTTCGTTTTAAAGAAACTGAATAGCACTTTAAGATAAACATGTAGGTTAAGATTGCTACAGTTATATTGACTTTTCAGCATTTAAATTTATCTTTACATTTTTAGTTATGAATATTTAGTCAGTAGTGTCACATAAGATGTTTTTTCAATTGCGGCTAGTTAGAGTTTATTTTGAAATTCAAAACCGGAAATCTCGCGAGGTGTCACCACGGACTTGACGCACGTTCCAACAAACACACACCGTCTCCTGTGAACATGGCGGCAACTTGACCACGGCCGCGATGTGAAGACGGTGAGGGCTCGGCGAAAAGAACAAGACGTCTGTTACAGGCTGAAGGCCCATCCGCCAACACAATAGACGGACTCTTTTCGCCATGTTGGAAGACGATAGCGCCCTTGTCCGCGCGCGACCGAGGCCGGGGAAAACGTAAGCGCGTCGGTCGGTGAGTGTTTCTAAAAACGGAGTCGAGGCTACGCAGAGGAGCGGAGCTGAGCGGAGCGGCGCCGCGCAGGAAGCTCAGGGCGGACGGGGAGGACAGCCATGCAGAATGCGGCCCGTGGTCGCCTGCGTCTGATTTCCCAGCCGGCCCACGCTCCCGTTGATGGGAATTACCGCTGATTGCGAAGGCACGCCGGGACAAGCTCGACTCTTGAGGGGAGGAAAACGCAATCGACTCCCGACGTCAATGACTGTTGCGGCAGAGGAGCCCCCACGGTGGAGTCGGCCGGTTCCCAAAATATGACCAGGGGTGCTGGGACGTGTTGGCAGCAAGATGACGACGACGGCTTCCAAATCTGGCTAGAGCCCCCCCGCAACAACCAAAAGCCATTCACCGACTCAGAGAGGGCGCAGAGATGGCGACTGTCCTTGGCATCCCTCTTGTTCTTAACCATCCTCCTCTCTGATCACCTGTGGTTCTGCGCCGAGGCCAAGCTGGCCCGGACCCCGGACAAGTTCGCGTCCTCCCACCTCCGCTCCCCTCAGACCCCCTCAGCACACAGCAGCCTCAGAGGAAACCCACGCGCTATTTTTCTAGGAAACTCTACCAAACATTTGTGGCGACTCGAAACTTGCCAGCAGGACACTTTGTCCGGCGACTGCTTCACGTTGGCGGATGCGGACGAGCTTTGCCGGGGCCTCTCGGACCGAGACGGGACGCGGGCCGTGAACATGAGCGATTTGTACCTGTCCTTTTGTAACTCCTACTCCCTGCTGGATTTGTTCCGCGGCTCCACGAGTCCGGACAATTTGAACTGCAGCCTCGACGCGCTCTCCGAGGGCGACGCGAGCCGATGCAGCGAGTGCGTCCAGGCGTACCAGCGCTACGACCAGCACGCGCAGGAGAAATACGAAGACTTTGAGCTCCTGACTCTCAAATACGAGCCGGGGGAATATTCAGTGAGGACGTGCATGGAGCAGTGCAAGGTAGGCTACAGCGGAAGGGAGGGTGGTGTGTGGTGTGGTGGCCATCTGTTGATTTGGGCCCAGATGGATGCCAGTTTTGGTCCTCCTGCTCCTGTCGCCATGGAGACGCCTGACAGATCCAAGGAGACTCCCGGCTCCGGGCCTCATGTTCATTCATCTCCTCATTGTGTTTAGGCCCCATGCTAATGTGTAGATGGAAGCCCCGAGTGTGTGTGTGTGTGTGTGTGTGTGTGTGTGTGTGTGTGTGTGTGTGTGTGTGTGTGTGTGTGTGTGTGTGTGTGTGTGTGTGAGACACCCTTTTATAGCCCATCGATTGCCCCAGTAAGGCTCATGGAATTGCCCCAGTCGATTTTATTTTCTTCTTTATGACACTACCTCAATGACCCTGATGGCTTGTGCAAACAACTACTGGAGCCGTGTGTGTGTGTGTGTGTGTGTGTGTGTGTGTGTGTGTGTGTGTGTGTGTGTGTGTGTGTGTGTGTTGCCAACAGGTGTTCACCGTGTCCACTCTGCTGCACATTGAGAGCAGTTTCATTAAATTCAAGAGGTGGTTTCCCTGCTTAATGTGCCGGAAGTCAGTTTCTCTCTCTCTCTCTCTCTCTCTCTCTCTCTCTCTCTCTCTCTCTCTCTCTCTCTCTCTCTCTCTCTCTCACTCTCTCACTCTCTCACTCTCTCACTCACTCTCTCACTCTCTCACTCACTCACATCACCAAATGGTGCACGCAGTCCTAGCCTGGTCCAGGCCTCGTGCTCGCCTGTCTGATCGGCTCGTGATGGAGCTTGTGAGCGGAGCTGATTTCAGCACCACGGAGAGCTCCTCCACTCCGCTGAATGGTTTTCACCCAGCTCCATTCACAGAAGCTCTGGCCAATCCCAGATGGCCTCCATTCAGTCTAGCAGAGGCTGGTTCTGCATTGGGGTGGGGGGGGGGGGGGGATCTAACTAGACCATCTACCTAGTCTCTGAGAGCTTTGAACTCACAGGAAGAATAATTTTTCTTATTGTTTTAAACGGTTGAACCTCAAGTGTAACCGGCCACTCTCACTGAACGGCTAAGATGCTGTTTGGCGCTTTTGGAATTTTACCACAAAATCAGGTGAATAATTTCAGATTCTGTCCAGATTCAGTTCCAGCTGGGTTATAAAGGGAAGATACGGGATGATGTTCTCGTTTCTTAGCTGGGATCTGTGTAAAACCTAGTCCACAAGACCTTGGAGTAGTTTTAAAAATGTATTCATTTAAATTTCCTTAAACCCTTTTTTAATTTTTCTGAATAATTTATTTCCTATACTTCACCTGTGTAACGTCCAGCAATGGTCAGTTTAGGTGCAGTCTGACCTTTCAACATCTATTCATCATCTGGTCAGAAAGGAGACACAACACTGCATGTGTTCCCTTTAAATGAACCTTCATACCAACTCACAGACTCTGCAAGTCTGAAAGATAAACAATAACTTTCTTTCCCAAGGTCCCATCTGTCTGCCTCCACAGAAGGAACAACTCCAGCTCGAATCAGTTGCTAAAATCAAGAATGATTTAATAAATCAATATGAACTTCTTCCATGACTCATCATCTAGATAATCATTAAATAAACATTTGTTTATTGCTACTTACAATTATTATATTGTAATGAACTGCTTCATTAATCTGTGTTCAATAATTGTTATGTTATGTCTACTGAGACTGCCATGTGTTCATGTTTATACGACGAGGTCCTCACACCTGCATTCACACCATAACAAGTACGGTTAAGTTAAACTCCCAACATATGGAGACTTTTAAACCAGTCAGAACATCCTGTATCAAGAAGGCGTGTTTCTGAGTTGCCTTGGTAACATCTCCCAAGCTGTCAGCCTCTGATTGGCTTGCAAATCATAACATCAACATCTTAAAACTGGATCATCCTGAGAGATTTGACAGTTCTAGAGAATCGCTCAGACCGGCCATCTGTAGCAAAACCTCTTTAACCATCAAAGATTTTTACACGTCGTCGAAACCTTTTTGCACCTGCAAAGCTGATGAGCAAACAGTTCCTGCAGAAACAAAGCTGGTACTGTTAGACTCCTTAAGAGTCCGCCAGACGCACGGTTCCATCCGGCTGTTATGACCCGAGACATCCCTGGACTGAAGAGTCGGTACCACGGTATTCTACAGCCCTCCGGTGCCAGAGGTCAGCCGACCCCTGTGACTTTCGGATCCACCAAGAGGGTCTCTCCAAAACGGGTGAAGTAGACATGACAGATAGCGTCTGATGTTCTTCTGATGATAACTTTATAGCTTAGAGCAAACCAAATTCTTTTCACCAGAACTTACTTTGATAAGGAAGCTCTGACTGACATCACGTTTAGTTACATCCACTCACAGTAAATGCTTAGTTAGGCCCTGTCCACACGTAGCCGGGGATCTGCCAAAACGCAGATATTTTTCTACATTTTGGCCTGTCATCCACACGAAAACGGAGTTTTTTCACACGAAAACGGATCTTTTTAAAAACTCCGGCCAAAGTGAAGATCTGCGTTTTCTCCGTTTTGGGTGTCTGCGTGTGGACGGACAAAACCGGAGTTTTAAGGTCCGCAACGTCACTTTCCGCGACAAAAAAATGCTGACATCACGTGTGCGACCTGTGTTTACACTAGCCGACATCATGGATGCCCTCAGAGCTGCGCTCTGTCACTACCCGATCCATCAATTGTCCAAGCGCTTTCTGCTTGTTTGTTTTTGCAAGCGGAATTACTGCTCCTTGCGGAAGACCACAGACGAAGGACGAGGTTAGGAACAGGGGAAGTACTGCCGCCTACAGGTCTGGCATGTCCTTAACAACGTATTTATCCGGGTACGTGTGGACAGAGTTTGTTTTTAAAACGAGGTGGTGTGGATGCAAGTTTTTGGAGGGGCGGATATTCGTTTTCAAAAAACCCCGGCTACGTGTGGACTAGGCCTTAGTCGTGTTTTAAATTGTTTGTAAAATAAATTCTTACTTTTATAAACTTGACTTTCTTGAAGTAACACGAAGTGTGGTTGATCACTGAAAAAGCAAAGAACCTAGAATCTTCTGATTAATTACAATAAAGCACCTAGCAGGTTAATATTTTATATTTACATAGAATGTTACATCTTCCTGGTTATAACAAATAAAAATCATCGATTTGCCTACGCTACACCTGTTACATCCATTTTTAATACGGTAGATAAAATCATGTCAACACTTAAAAAATGTATATAACTAACTCTTAATTAATGTCGAGTTTTATACGATTACATAACAGTTTCAGGTGGTTAATAATCTAACAAAGATTAAATCTCACATATTCAGGTGTTTTTCTAATAAATATTTAATTGAGATGAAAGTACCTTACATGTAAACTTGAAAAACACATCGTATGTCATTTATAATTTAAAATATTACAATAAACAGTTTTATATGTGGTAATCGTGTCCTGTTGGACTCATTGATGGGGATGGTGGTCACCGGGCTAAAGCTTCTTCGGTCTTCATTGGAGGTTTAAACGGTATAGGGCTTGAGATCACACGTGATTACACATAGCATTATGGGATGTGCGTAGACATGTTGGTGACCTTACGAGTGTAAACAAACTGTGAAAACTAACAGTAAGTCGCAGAGAAGAAGCGGATCTGGGTGAAAGAAAGTGTTAAACATGTTAAAATCCCAAAAAGGATGCAGAATATACCGGGATTCGTTAAATATGTGATCATGGTTTTGGTCCATATGAAAGACCCAAGACTGGAGCACCGACGACAACTTTTTGCCATCGTAGTTCTGCGTAACGGACATTTTTGGCTTTCTTGTTTGTGGTGTGAGCGGATGTAAATGCCTGGATGAGAGGTGAATATTTCATTTGCTGGTTTTTCTAGTGAAACAATCAAAATTGCCATCCTATAGAACTCTAGCAGAAGACGTTGTGTTGTATTAGCTTACCGGTGTGTGTGTGTGTTGCCTGTGTGTGTGTTGTGTGCATGTTGTGGTTGAAAATACTCTGAAAGGTGATGTTTGGTCTAGGGATGCACCGATGGATCGGCATTTGATCGTAATCGGCCGATAGCGCCCCTATCGGTTTTGATCGGAATTTTCAAAATAGATCAAAGCAGACCGATCAGCTGTAGGGTTGTCATGGTAACCAGTGTAGCGGTAAATCCCGGTAAAAAAAAAAAGTTGACAATAATAATAACCGTCTTGTTTTTTAAAAAACTATATTATCTTGGTGGGTTTACCGTGGCTGCGGTGTAGGCGCGTGACCCTTACCAGCCACCGTATCATCTGCTGAAGTTGCCGGCGGCACATGCACGCTTTGCTGTTTACAACCAAAACTTTCTTGAAGCTAAAGCTGAAATAATGGTCAAAGGAGGAGACGGCAGCGCTCAGGAGGACATTTATTATCCCTCAAAGAAGACAAAGTCGGAAGTACGGGCATCATTTAGATATTTGAAGAATGCCGAGGGAGTTTTTAGAAGACGGCTATCCTGTTTGCAGCACGTGCAGAAAAAGTGTCTGTGAAAGGCACAACGCTTCAAATCTCATGACACATCTGTGTGATCATCACCCACAACTCTACAGTCAACGCAAGGCAAGCTAACGTTAGTGTTTCAGCTAAAATGCGTGATCCGAGGATTTGGGTTGAGGGAGAATGCAACGAGTTGCTATATAAAGCAGCCGCAGCGCCGTCACCTGCATATAAACCGTGTCGTGGACACCGCCATGTTGAAACGACGCTATGCATTACGGGGCTCCCAGGGGCAGATAAGAGTTGGTCTCTCTCCGAGAATAATTATGAATTTAACAACGATTACTGCCTGATGACATTTTCCCACATCTGCAAAGCTCACTGGAAGGACACAAACCGAGGACAATATTTTCCTGATATAGGGTTTATTACTCAAGTAAGGGTAAAAAAGTATCTGATTAGAAGGCTACTTGAGTACTGAGTATCATCTGAACTAATATTTTTAAAATGATGACATCAAACAGACATAAAATAAGAAG